CAGACAAATGGCTGTTACATGCTCATACTCAAACTAGATATTCTAAGAGTTCAATACTTCAATGTGTTCCGGTCCCGCTGCGACCGCTGTTTCCAAAAAACCATGCCCTGTTTGGTTCATCCCTGCCGCTATTCCCTCGCTTCAGGGACAAACATTTGGTACGCGGTGGCGTGGTTCGCATTGGTCTCCTGCATCTTTGCCATCATGTGGCGCTGCTCTCGATAAGAGACGTCTCAATCCAGATAGGAGGCCTTTATTCTGGGAGATGACACTTGGAGAAGGAGAAGGAGTGTATCAGACTCGTCATGTCTGTAGCCGCAGCAATTAATTACGAATTAGAGTCCAGAACCCTTAGCACTTTGCATATTCCAGGGGATTCACTTACCACTATACATGGTAACTTAAACCAGAGGTTCCAAGGACTATAGCAAACCACTGCGATGACTTGCTGTAGACCAAAGGACAACCCTCCAAGGCTAAAGACATCTTTCCCTGCTGGATGAACTTCTCCAGCTTGGGTTGTATGGTATGGTCATATGGGTTTTGGGGTCCATTGGGTCAACAGGTTCTTTGGCCGATCCCAACACCAGTCTCCAGCCGGCGATGTCCAAGACCCACCCGGATGGATGTCGCGGTGGTTCCTTGGTTCCACCGCCGACGGAGCGTGGTTCAATGCGGCTGGTGAATTTACGTCTACGCATATATAATATATATATAATATATAGTTGGGTTTAGAATTGGTTCAATGTTCTTCCATCAATAGGAGATGGGACATCCCAATTGTTTTACCATACGTTGTTTTCTTCACGCCACGATTCTGCTTTCCAAGTGGATCATGTCACCCACTCAAAGGCTGTCCAAAGGCCGGTCATCCACGGCTTGGGGTTCCGACGTCGGAACAGGCTGAACTTGCCCACGGTCGAGGACCGATGCTTCCATAATGTGATTTTAACAAAAGGGACTCCCCTATTCCATCTTGGCAGATCTGCCCCGCCCAAAATAGTGAAGCTCGATCAGGGAAGAGGTAGGATCAGGGACGAGGTAGGGTGTTATAAGTCAACCAGGCACAAGTGATTTTGTCCGTGAATCTAAGTTGCTATCAGAACTGCTTTCAACAAACGCCAGCGGGGCCAGTAAGGGGTCATTGGGCCGGCCAAAGTGAGCTTGGAAGCTGCCACTTTTGTGTATTGTAATGCCTGTCACATTTGTTCCCTTTCAGAAAGAACGAGGGACACTGGGGGGCGGCAGCTGTGTATCCGACCATTCGTCCTCTACATTGTCATGAGTTTGGCTCTTTCATCTAGTGTGCGAAACACGCAGGCACAGATCTTGTGGCGACGCAGTGCACCGCATTCCTGGTGCATTGCAGCGTGGGGAAGCGACACTCCCCCATGTGATCTTAAAAACCAAACTGCCCACCAACAAAATTGCTAACACGATCTAACACGTGCCATGTAACGTATCAACTGTCCGCTATTTAAGTGCGCCTCATCTGAGAGACATTAATCATTGAAAAGGTGGCGCTGTATTTGGCGGGCAGTGGTTCCAAGGCTTCAATCTTGTTTCCACTGACCCTACACTTTAACCTGAGACTGCCCGTGTTCTTCACATCTACCTAAGCTGGTTAATTCTTGCTTGCACTGGGCTCCTTTTCACTTTTTTCCTTGGTTGGACACTTCTTTGTATTGACCAACTCTTAAGAGAGAGGCAGGTGCGTGGCATCGTCTGATTTTGGCTCAATGCCTGCAAATCTGGGGGTTTTCCAGACAATATGCTGGCGGGAGCTCTGTCCAGGCTTGAGAAGTGCATTAGTCTGAAGGTGCTTGGTTTGGTAGCTAGAGGTGTTTCAACATTTTAACATTACCAGTTTCAATTTGCAGCCGTCTCTCAGGTAAAAACTTGTGAAGGCTGAAATGAAACTTTATGTATGAGCATGTTTGTTGAATTCCATTTACGTATATTTAAGTAAGGTTTTTCTTCAACACCTGTTTCGTCAGGCCTTGCCAGCTGCACAGCCACGTTTGTTTCATGATGTTCATGACGTGGGTTGTTTTTCTGTGAACTTGGAGAATATTGAGCATCATGGAACAATGAAACCATAAGTAATTTGAGTTAGAAACCCTGGCAGGTGACTCAGCACTAACGACTGGATTTGGACTGACTGGACGACTTGCTGCATCATATGTTGGAAAAACAAACGTGCTAAGAGCGCAGACCAGGCGCAGCTCAAGCGCGGACCAGTCAAACTACATTGTAAAATAGTGGAATCAGTAGGTATACCCAGTAGGAAGGCTGGCTGTTGTAAAGCTCTAGTTCCTTTGTTAGCCGCCACTGGCTGGTTTCCAGTATTGTCGTGCTTGGCAGCTGGGACTGCATTTGAATTGGTTACTGGTTTCTTTGGTTGTTGGTTGGGTCGTGCCAGTTGTGCAAACTGTTAAGTCAAAATACATTGCCGACAGGTGCTGGTCTATGTGGAAGTTTTTGCAAATGTGATCTGCATATTGTAACACGCATGTTGAAATCGGTGTGTTTGGGCAGGTTGCATGGAAGGGCCAGACAGGCGCAGACCAACCAACACACAATGTGTAACAAATTGTTTTGTGAGTTTTCTTTGTATAGTGCTCGCCCCTATCAAACGAATCCGGCGCATTTGACAGTGGATTAGAGTAGAGGGAAGCCGGTTGTTGATTCATTGATGTTATCTTGATAGCTTTTAAAGAGAAAACAAGGCCAAGGGCCAAGGCAAAGATAAGTGGAGATGGCGAGACACAAAACGGCCATTTCATGTTAACTGGAACAGTGCCTTTTGACCTCGCAATGTTTTATTGCAATAAATTTTCCCCTTAAACTGAAACTTCATGGGTTGAGGCAACCATACTAGTACAGGCCCCCCAGGCAAGACGTACTCAGGTGAAACTTATGTATCAGCACGCCTCCTCAACCACTCTGCGCTGCCTTTCTATCCCAGCCTTTCCTGTATATTTAACTACAGGTTTGGTTTCCCCCACCCTGATATAGGCAAGCACAGTCCATACCACAGTGCACTGCCTTCCTGATGCCGTCTACTAGCATGAGAGTAGCACGAGGAAACCAGACTCCTAACCAGGATTTCATTGCTAGCTAGCAACATGTCTCTTGAAAGCAAGCGCTTTTTTGAGCAGTTTTGCCAGAGCAGAACCGGCCAGAATCAAGTTGTAGCGCATTACCCGACTCATTGCACAAATGGTATATGCTGGCAGTTGAGTTGAAACCACTGGGGAATCCTACCTTTTCCCCGCTCGTGCCTCTTCCCTGGTAATCACGCTCCCCCCAAACTAAAAGGAGCACCATATAGTCGCAAAGGATACCTGAGTTGGGGCCCCGCATCCAAGATAGCCGTTCATGCCACACTCTCCCTTTTTCATATTTGTTTGCACGATGGTGGAAGTGCTGGGCAGACAGATCACTGCCCACATCGGCTGTGGGTGACCAATTTCCTATAAGCAGTTTCAGCCGTAGCCGCGAAGTCGGGAGCTGGCTGCAACCAATTCCTATGCCATCGACGCAGTTGGTCCCCCCGGGAATCGATTTCCTTGCGATGTACGACCTACACTGATTGAACAATATATGCACTTGTTTCCAATGGAGATCTACGATTTGAAATCCAGAACGTGTTGTTTCTGTATAACAGTTAATCCCTCCTTTTCAAGCAATAATTTGTTGGCAAGTTGGCGCCCAACAATGGGGCTTTGTGGATGGTTCCTGGGCCCTGTCGATTCATCCGTTTCTTTCTTGGCCAAGCGGCCGTTTTTCAAAAAACGGCGGGCGACCTTCTTGGCAAAGCCACTGGAGGGCCAGCAAAAAGTGGGCATCGTTTTGTGATGTTTGGACTGAAGAAGCAAGCACAAAACCATCGACATGGTCAGTAGGGTATCTTGACCGCTGGCATGTTTCAAACTCGATGGTGATGAAAGATGATGAGAGTTGCAAGACATGACCTAAGTGGGTTCCGTACCAGTAAACCCCTTGCATGGTCATGAATGGACTCAGAATCACCTGTGCAGCATTCAACACCGCCGGGTTACAGGGTAACAGGGGATCCGATGCTGCCAAAAAGTGTGTTGATGTGTGTTGTTTTGTGTGCATGTGTTTTTTTCATTCATTTGCCAAGTGAATGTTCGTTTTGGCCCAGAGCCTCGAAGTGTGGCGTTGGGTGTGTGGATGGTTTCTTGTTCATTCGTTCGATTTCGCTGGGAGTTCTGAGAGCTCCTGTTTATGACTGATGTGGGTTCATCATCCGAGTTCACAAAAACATGTATTTTTTTGGCTTGTCATCTAGACGGAGCGATCCTTCTTCCATCGGTCTCGGGTTTCCACGTTGCCTTTTCCACGGCGCAACGCTCATAACCTTTCGGATGAAAAGGGACAAACACCTGAAGGGACAACATATATCTTTGGCAAATGCAAGACTCTATATAAATACAGGATGGACACACAGTGACAGTGACGAACTGTTTAGGGTAGTGCGTTCAAACTGCCAGTGACAACAAGGATCTCAAGTGCCAAGCCCGAAGCTGTGCCTACTTCGCTGGGCCCGCCTTCCTTTGATTCCTGCGATTCTTTCACGACCGACGCAAGACTTCGGAAAAAACGTTGGGTGCTAACTGATGACCCAGTTGATCGAACCGGTCCCCAGTTGATCGAATTGGTTTTAACCAATAAAGGTCGATCTTGGATCGAACCAGTTCACGATGACCCCCTTAAAGAAGTTTGAGGTCCTGGACCTGGTCTTCATATGTCTTCATCGGTTCCCAGTATGCCCCAGTTCAATCTTCCTTGGTCAAAGGCGCCATGCAGGCCCTGTGAGAAGCCAACATATGTGATTTTTGTGCTTTTTGAGCAAGTGGTAACCTCACATCCTACATTCTCCCCAGAAGCTCGGGACACCTCTCACAGACTGGGCCAATCTGGCTTCACGGCGCCGGAATGCCCTCCCCTCTGCCGCAGTCACCTCCCCGGAGGTCCATCACCTCGAGGAAGTCGGTGCACCTCGTCACCGACCCGACTTCGAGGAAGTGGCCGAACCGACGCGTGGATCGTCAAACCGACGCGTCGGTTTCGCGGGGGCAGGGTTGCCCCGCGGAGTGTCACCCGGACCTACTCCGCAGCAGAAACTGAACGTCTGAAGTCCATGGAATCATGGTGACTTCAATGGAAAGCGGATCATGGGTTAGTGGAGTTCACCACCTGTTTGGTCTTCGGATTTCTGATTTCATGGTCATCCGAGTCTTTGGGTCCGTTTTGCATCCGATGTCACCATAGACAGTCCGAGCCCCGTTTGGTGGTGTCTCCCTGTGTCATAGCTTACCGAATCGGTCATGATCATCCTCGAGCCTTGAGCAGACAGAACAACCAACAGAGGTTAAGTGACTAGGACCCTACCAGGGATTACCAGGGTACCTATGGAATAGCCTATAGGGTTCTTCAACCTCTGTTGGAATGACCAACATTCTACACATTTTGGAGAGATTTCCCTAGAGTTCCTTGGATCCAATATGTGTCCATGGCCACAGCCCAGGACTTCGCCATCGGTCCAGGACTTCTCCAGGTGATTCCCGGGAAGTATCCTTCACTGTATGATACTGTATGCCTTGTCAGTGGTGGACGAATACCTGGTGGAAGTCATGACAGATGACATCAGAATGTGTCCTTTGGCCTTTGGAGTAGGGAACCTTTGAGGTCCTAAAAATCCCTCCAGGTTTGCTGACCTCTTTGGCACTGGCAGTCTTGACTCCCCATCAATGAAAAGGGATTTGTGTATGTAAATACATGTAAATATGCCAGTCCCACTGGTCGTGTTTGGGATTGGCCCCCAACATCCGTTGGTCTAAACCGCTCTTGGAGGAGGCGCCCCAAGCGAAACGGCTCTTCGCAGCTGCGGCCTGGAACAAGCCCGGTCCACGTGGAAAGGGACGAGGTGCGGAGAAAAACGCATGGGGTGCGCCTGGTGGGACTGGCGCCAGTGGCGAGACTCGGCACATGCTCCACCGATCTCCAGAGGTCAGAAGCCATGTAGATCCAACAAGATCCAACCAGAAACACCAGCTGTGGCGAACCCGGGTTCGCTCCCGGTTGCTGTTTTGAGAGACTGGGAAGACTCAACAGTCACTGCTTGGTCCTCTCTTCGCAGGCCTTGCAACGCGTGCCTTAACGTACGGTTGTTCTAGCTTCGAGGCTACTGTTACAATGGGCACATTTGGGTGAACACGGACCTGTTCCACACCTTGAGCAACCCAAAGCCAAGAATGAACTCCCCCAAGGGCCTAGGGCTCACATGCCTATACTACCCAGACATCCATGGACTGGCCTATTTACCTACCATCGGGCTGGTTGAAAGGGGGTCAATCTAGGCATGTATTCCAGCCCCGGGTTTGGGCTATAAGTATTTCTAAGTATTTGTTTGAGTATGGCATCCACCAAGCGTCAATGCTTGCATGCATGTCTTGCTTTGATGGGATTCCTGGCCATGGACTGCGCTAAACTAAGCCGGGTTTCGTTTAAGATGTCTTTCCTCAATTCAATCCATACGAGTCTGGTCCGATGAGAACCAGATGTGAGGCGAACACTCGAACCCTGGTCGTCTCGATGAAGTGAAAACACGGCATGTCATAACCCGGAGAACCCCGCATTAGTCAAACTTTCAGCGGCCAAAGGGAACCTGCTTGGACCCGCAGCAGAGTTGGTGTGAGTACGTTTTTTGTGTGACTTGAAGTAAGTAAGGTGGTGTGCGTGAGACGCGGCGGGAGGAGTCGCAACACGGCGGTATGCAGACTGGGAACAACAAGAGCTTGGACCCTCTCACTCATCACCCTCAGATTGGCCGTCACGTACGTTCTTCGTTCCTTCCGACGTGTGTGTGTGTGTGTCGGACGTTGCGCATCGTCCGACGGAGGGAAAGACGGACTAGTTCGGGCGTCCGGGCGGCACTACTTCGAAGGCGCGCTCGGTGGAGACCGCGGATGCGCGCCAAAAGGGAAGATCCAACGAGTCTAGGGAACCCACCGACTGGTGCGACAAAAGGGAAGGTGGATGAACAAGACACGAATCGGGGCTCCTCGCCTTACGAACCGAACGGAACGAGAGGACGCTACGAACGGAACAATCACTGGGGGCGAAACTTCCCTCACTAAATCACCTAGTCGCGCCAAGGACTTCCGGTCTGGTTTTGGGGCGTGACGGTGTTGCTCGTGCTGGGGTGTGAGGAGGTAACAGCTGGACTATATAGCTTATATTACAATTAATATTGTTGTTTGGTGAGTTGTGCACCGGGTGCACCCACTTGTTTGGAATACTCATGGAAGGGCTAGGCATGCAGACTTGTAGACTTACTTCCCCTGCCGGGAAGCCTTGCTTTAGGCACCAGTCTGAACAACGTAGACTCCACGGCAAAGAACTGCAGCATTGAAGAAGGTTCAACCTTTGTTTTTGTCCATGTCTTCTACTAAAACTATATCCTCAGAAGGTGGTCAGAACCGGCCTGGCGCCCACCATAACCATCGAACCGAAACCGAGGGGTGGCCAGAACCCGCCTGCGTATATGATGCAAATTGCAAATAACTTCACTAGTTAAGCGCCTGGTCGAGATACCTGTGAGGTTTCACAGGCGCTTGAGGACCTTTGAGCCCACATGCCAAAGCAGCTATTTCGCTGATGTGGGGTTTGGAATATTGTTGAATAGGGTACTGTACTTTGAGGCCACCTGACTTTAAGATCTTTTATATAAGAAACATTTGCTGAACCTTCGTGCCCACAAGAACCACCCATTTCATTTCTGGTGTCAGGAAACACTCCAGCAGCACCAGGGAGCCTGAAAAAAAACACGTGTGTTTGTGCAATGTGTTGGGCACCTGGTGAGTCAGTACCTTCCAACTGTTGCTTCATGTCCGTCCACGTGCCATGTCCGTTGAAAAAGAACATGGTGGACAGACCACCCGACGTTGACAGATCGAAACGTGGACAGACCGGGATGACCACGCCGACGACGCCACGGCGACGTGGTCTCAGCCGACAGCCGCCAACCCTTACTTTGGCACCTCGGCGGGTGGAGTTGCCATCATTTCGGGTGGTTTGAAGGTATACTATATACGGGTGCCTTTCAGCAAAAAGGTTCCTTCTTCTCTGACATCAATGACGGGGACTTTTGAGTTGGCACTCTCAAGAGATCCTTGCGTATATAGGTTGTGCAAGTTCAGGTCTTGTGCGAGTGGCCGCACTGGGCACCCACGTGAGCCTCGAAAGCCACGCCACTTTGAACCATGCATGACCATGCTGCATGCTGTATATATGTTGCTCACTTGCGATAGATCCCAGCTTGGAGTGGTGAAATCTTCAGGGAAGACAGGACGACATGTGTTGGACCTTTGGATGGAACATGGACCTCGAAGCAGTTTGCACGTGCCAATGTCAGTGTTCACTGATATCACATCCAATCGCCCAGTTGCTCATTTTTGTTGGCATCTACCAGGACCTTCCAACAGGTGTTTCTACATAGCCTCTTAGAGGTAAAGGGGTGTCCAAAAACCACCTGTTGGAAGGTCCTGGCACTTAGCCCAAAGAAAGATCTACTCGATCTACTGTTACAAGCAACTGTCACACGCCGGAAGTGAAAAGAAAAGCGCGTAAACCCTGCGTCCAAACCGAGGCAGCTTGGCCACTGAGGCACGTCAGCGAGACGGTGTTTTCCTTTCGAAGGAATCACAGTGAGTCGCAGCTGAGTTCCCAGACACGGCCGATGGGACAGGCCTAGTTTGAGATGTCGGCCTGCAACCTTAACCATGATCATCCATCCCACACACAACTAATGGGACTGCCATAGGACTGCCGATCAGGCCTGGGGTGGTGCCAGGGGGGTCAACGGGGCGGCATATATGGCAGTCCCATGGAGTGTAGTGTTTGGGCATTGCTCTTTGTCAAGCAGGGGGTCTTTGTACTGTCAATCTTGTAATCCCACCAGTTCCTTTGGGCTTGGTCGATGGGAGACCCCTCCGGCGCGGTCTTGAAGAGGTCTTGAAAGCGGCCGGTCTTCTTGACACCAAACGTGGGTCATCACATGTCACAAAGCGGACAGCAGTCCAGTGAATTTCCAGTTCTAGATCTATAATGATATCATCATGATCATCATATACACTCTTAGAATTGAGACCCCTCAGATTTGGATTCTGGATTCTTTCAATCAAGAGTCCACATAGTCCACATTCGGTTGGTGGAATCCCGAACGGACCACCAATGAGAGAACGACCCTCCGGTCGGTCGGTCCAATGGATCTCCAGTCGGTCGGACCACACCTTCGATCCATCGAGCAGTTTTTGGAGGCGATGCCCCAAAAGAACCAGGTTCTGACAGATGTTCTTCTCAGGATCTTCCCTGTAGCAGATGTTTAGGAATGTTGAAAAAACTTGATTTAGACAGGGCTGAAGAGTGGGTGTGAATCCCCAAAATCAATTGGTTTGTAATGGTTTGTAGGTGCCTTTGGAAATTCCCAAGTTGTGTCCCCTGCCGTGGGCTGCATTGTTTGTGGTGCTGCCTAGTCCTCCCAAACCCGGCGCCTCAGGCGTTATTAAGTCCTATAGGAATGCATCCTTGTAGCCTAGAGACAGATTAATGGAAAGCAATCAACAAGCATAATTGTGTTTGGAACACCAGTCGAGCAATCACGATCACAGGAGCCTTTTGTCCGATGTTGTCGGTTACACAGCTTTGACTTTGACTTTGGCTAGCTCTCTGTGAGAAATCTCGCGAGCTTCGTGAAACACACGCACAAACAAATTCAACTTCTCCAACTGGGTCAGCATCATCGTGGAGCGGCCGGTTACACAGCTGCGCTAAACCAAAAGTCCAGGAGCCTTTCTGTTGAGACTCCAACTCAGAGTTTTCTTAGCCAATCCCGTTGTCGATGTGCAGGACACTTGCGCTTGTGGCTCCAGCAACATAGGCGCTGTGGCACATGCGACGTGTCCGCGACGCGTCCGGTGAATCCCAAACGGATCAGTTGGGGGACTGGCATGCCAATCAATTGTATACCGATCAGTTGAGGATTGGAGTCAATGCCATAAATTCTAGTCCGGAGTGGTTGGGGGAATAGAATCAACAGAGATGGCCTAACTGCCATGCAATGTTGTTGCTTTTCTTCATACTATGCTTATGATTGACGATTTTAACAGATTTAAGCTCAGGCTACCGGCTACTCATAGAACTACCCATACGCATGCGATTGCTGGCCAGCACTTCATGCGAGAATACGCATTGAAGTCTTCAGCACAGATGTTTGATCTGGTGATCCTCTTGTGATGCCCAGGTGGGAATGGCAAGGATGTTCTTTACCAGGACTTCTTGTTGCCATTGTTGAAAAGGTTGCCAAGCAAATTGAACACGGGATCGCTTTCATCAGCCACTGTCATGTCCGAAATGTGCATATCGATGTTCAGTTTAACTCGGTTTAAGTGTCATTGGAACAAATGGATATTTTCTGGCTCTTCAGCACATTGTGTGGTTTAAATGTGTTGAAACGGAGGAGGCTTCAACCCAACAATCTTGTCAGAATACTAGGGCTTGGAGTGCCAATATCATAGATGCAGCTTTGCATCTCCTGACCGTACACGTCTTGCACGTGGCTGTTGGTTTGGTGACCCTTGCGTTTTCCAACGCCCGTAGCGTCCTTCAACTGTTGCCTTCACAACCATCCTTGCCCTGGAGATGTAGCACTCTGCTTGACTGATCTGCTTGACCAATCGCTTTGTATCACCAGTCGTGCCCAGACCGGCCCACACCAGCGAGGCCGTCACATGTGCTACGACTGCGGGCGCCAACGAGAAGCGCCCTCCAAATCACAGGCGCGGCCGACGGACGCGACATGGGTGTTGTTAAGTTTAAGTCGACAAAGGGCGGGAAGAGTGAAATGAACTGACATGGATGTGAAAAGCTTAACTCCCAGTGACTGAGACCCCCGAACGAATCTCCCAGCTAACCTGGCAGAGCACCAGGTTAAGTTCGTCGCCTGCTTCCCATACACCAGATGGAGCCTTTCCTCAAAGGCAATCAAAGTTGATCACATATCTTTTGACGCACAGAACTCAGGACTACGCAATAGGATCCAGGACATGATTCTCCATCAGCAGGGTCGTCCAGGACTTAGCCAAGTTCTTCTAAAGACGGCTTTCTGGGACGGCTGATGACAGAAACCTCAACCTTTCGGACGGAGTTGCCGCTGACAGGTTCCTCTCTTCTCGTATACCACCTGTTTTGCCTGTTCTGTACTGGACGGTCGACTCTGTCGGGTGTCGAACAGGTGGGCGACCGACGCGACCCACAGACGCGACCGACCCGAACCGGAGGGTCGGACCCAAATCCTCGAATCCGAACTGGTCAGGGGTCTGGGGTTCTCACCAATCCCGATCGGTCTGCTTCGGGACCGGTCGGGCTGGTTTCACGGAGCGTCTGGGTGGGTGAATTCTCTCTTCTTCCCCTTAGTGTATTCCTCAACCTTTCACCAGGGCAAATTGGGTTGAGACCGATACGTGCATTGCATTGAGCAACATTGACATGTTCCAAATTCTACAAAGAGGGTGTGATACCCCACGTTCGAATGAACAAAAGCTGGAATCACATGAATGTTCAATCAGTTTCACATCGTTTCACATAGTTTGAATGTTTAACTTGTTCCCCTTCGACAAGTGTTAGGATATACATGTGCAGGTGTTGTTCACATACTGTCCAACCGATGCGACAGGGGCAAGAACGATCTGCCAGAGCGATCTGCCAGTATCAAGGCACTGAGAAACCCCTAACAGAACCACCCATGATGTCCATTTATATCCTACACCTCGGTGGGGTGATGTTTTGTTCACCGATCTTCGCAGGCCGCCCTAGAGGGTTTTTATTGCTGGAACAGTTCCTGACCCTAAATATGACTCTAGGGATCCACTGCCTGCTGAGGTGCCTGTTTGGATTGGGTTTGCAGGCCGGCAGACCTTGTGAGTATGTGGAATTAGGGCCTCCGGCCTCCTGTGCCAGAGCCATGGACACTCCAGACAACGCAATGAGCGTTCCGGTGCAGTTCATCAGTGGCAAAGTGTCTGTCTTGAACGTCATGCCAGACATGACGCTCGGGAAGTTCAAGCAGCATTTGAAGGCACGATGTGCTGAGTCGCCAGAGTGCGCTCCGCAAGGTGAGTAGGTCCTGCATAAGTATGTGTGACCTCTAGGGTCATCCCTTCTGTGGCCGGATCCTTTGGGTGAAGTCAAGGAGTAGGTCGGTCCTGTTACAATCCCAAAGGTAGTGGACCCCTTGTGAAGAGCGAACTGGGAAGTCCAATCTCACCTGCCGCTTCAGGGGCGAAGCATTGTTAGCCAGGGTGCGAGTAGTTGCTGGCAGACGAGCTATATCATTCGTCATATGCTAGCATATAACATATATACCAAGCCTTCCAAGAGGTGTCTGTAATTGGCCTTTTAGAGGTGATTGGGGCTGTCCAAAATCCACCTGTTGGTTTTGGTCCTGGTATAAATGGTACGTATAGATCAACGATGATCAACCTGTGTATATTATATATTAGTATATACATATAATGATCTATTAGTCGTTAGTTTGATTAGGATGGAGACAAAGTTCATGGGGAGTCGAGAGTCATATATGTCCACGTCATCGCTCGTGGCGTCGTTGGACGTCGTTGCTGAATGTCTGTGGGTCGTTGGACGTCGTATGCCATCCTTTGATCTTTACTTTGTACATAGTATACATAGTCTTTGACATAGTCTTAACTGATCATAGCTTTGTCATTCCCAAGATACTGGGAACATCTGGAAACCATGGGCACTTCCATCGGACGCACACCGCCCGGCTGATGGCCTGATGGCAAGTATTAACGTAACCTCAGCTTGGAACTGTGAAGAGTTGAAGAGTTGTTCATCAATCACCACCTGTCCTTGGTTCATCCAGCTTGGTTACTGTAGGCGTTTCATCCATCGGAAGATGAACTCACTGGGCTACTAAGCACTGTGCATGTGGTGCTCGATGGCAAGAAACTTGGAGTGCAAAAGCTGAAACAAAGTGAGGTGTTTGAGGGCTTGTGTGGCTCGCTTTGTGGTTTCGAGGCTTTGAGGATCGAAAAGCCTTGTCTTGTGGCATCTCGGTTTGTCTAACCGAGGAAACTGGAGCATCAAGACCGGACGACCCTTCACTCAGCAGGGATCTCCCCAACTGCGGAAGTTCAGGTGATGTTTACTCTGGACCCGCCGGTGGAATGCGTGAGCAAAGACCACTCGCCTTGTAAGGGAAGCTTGCTTTTTGCCCAAAAAGGGTTTCTATTTTCCCCGAAAGGATCCAACAGGTGCAGGGGAAGTTGATTCCTTGTGTTGCTTCCTGGCTCCTTAATCAAGCAAGTCCAAGGAAGCCGATTAGTGGATGTGAGCATCCCCGATTCAGTCGCTTGGATTAGTCCCATGGCCTTCTTCGACTGCCAGGCCTTGCTGCGGATTCGCCTGCCCGACTCCCTGACGGAGATCGGACGCGCGGCGTTTCAGCGGTGCAGCAATTTGAAGATCTTGAACATCCCGAACTCTGTGACAGTGATTGGAAGGAGCAGCTGGTTTTGGAGGGTGCAGGTTTTTGGGTGATGCGCCATTGAGTTTCTTAAAGTTGACAAACTTTTTTGGAGGGTGTGGCAGTGGTGGTTTAATGGTTTCAGACGGTTTCAGTTTCTCCAGGATCCGCTTTTATCCTTTTTCATCGTGAGCTAGATTCAGTCCACCTCCAGGCAGGTGGTTTTTCCTTTTTGACGAACCAACATGGACAACTTCAGGAGCGCTTTTTCGCTATGCAGTTCATTGCAAGACCTCAGCTTGTCAAGCTCTTTGACTCAGATTCCAAGTGATGCCTTCGAAGGCTGCAGCTCTTTGACAAGCTTGAAGATTCCGAAAGTGGCTGCGATTGGTGAGAATGCATTTGCAGGATGCAGCTCCTTAAGAAGAATGCTCATCCCCAGTTCAGTGCTGGAGATTCGAGAGAATACCTTCAGAGCCTGTACCGGGGTGGTGGCTTAGAAAATTTGTATCCATCTCTACTTATTTGGGACTGCTTATCATCGGTTCTCCCCATTTACACATTTGTTTTCGGATGGTTGAAATCACCATGGCAGGTACCTCTTTGACCAGCTTGAGCATCCCTGACTCGGTGACTCAAATTGGGCGCTATTCCTTTGCGGACTGCCGGGCGTTGACCAGCATAGCACTTCCCATGTCAGTGACGGAAATGGGCATGGCTGCCTTTCAGGGCTGCAGCTCTTTAGAAAGCTTGACAATTCCCAATTCTGTGACACGAATACCGAGGTCCGCATTTGAGTCTTGCAGTTCCTTAAGAAGTTTGACCATTCCCGATTCTGTGACTTTGATTGCAGATGGTAGCTTTAGATCATGCAGTTCATTGACCAGCTTGACCATCTCCGACTCAGTTCTTCAAATCTGCACCGATGCCTTTCGAGACTGCAGTTCTTTGACCGGATTGGTGATTCCTGGCTCAGTGACACAGATTGGACCCGATGCCTTTCGAGACTGTCGTTCCTTGACCAGCTTGGCCATCCCTTCGGAGACTCTCATCGGGCCGCAGGCGTTTCGAGGATGCAGTTCCTTAAGCAGCTTGGAGATCCCCATGAAGGCCACCCAGATTGGGATGGGTTCCTTCCAGTCTTGCAGCTCTTTGACCAGTCTGGAAATCCCCAACTCTGTGACCGTCATTGGAAACCATGCCTTCCGTAGCTGCAGCTCCTTGACCAGTTTGAAGATCCCTGAGTCTGTGACTCAGATTGGAGATTTTGCCTTTGCAGGCTGCAGTTCTTTGAAGAGCTTGTGTATTCCCAATTCCGTGACTGAGGCTCTTCTGCAGTAGAGGCACCCCTTCGAGTTTCGCACATCGCCGTCGAGTTTCGCACATTGCGAGGGTGCACTCACCGAAGTCAAGGTTTTTGATGTTTTGAGACGTCCCGAATCGAATGGAACTGCAGCTTTTGCTGAGCCTCACCGACCAACAAAATGATTTGAGTGGAGAGGTGTTTTTGGTGCAGAGGACACCAATCCCGGTTTAGTCCTGAAGCCCAGCTGAGGATATTGGAGCCTGCGCTTTCGAAGGCTGCACGAGTTTGAAAGAACTGGAATTCCCAGAACCCTTGGAGTGCTACGCAGAGACTGTTTTTGTGAACTGCAGCTCCTTGCCACGGACTCCCAGAGGATCCTTGATGTTGAAAGCAACGAAAAGAGAATGCCAGGGGAGTTGAAGGGGTGCCTGCTTAGTCGCAAGCAGTTGGAACACGTTGGAACTCTCTCCTATGTGCGCATGATTTTGGGATGTGGCGTTGAGGAGCAGCACATCTTAGCACCCAAATCCTGAATGGACGTGGACATGGTGTAGGCTCCAAGAGAAGGCTCAATTGAGCCCTCTAAGATCCTTTTACTTTCCCTGCTCTCCAACAGGTTCTCCTAAAATGAACTTAACACATTCTTAAGACTACCCCGAGATCAGGACATCTCAGGGTTGAGAGTGGTTTTTTGATGCCTTTTGGCATCTTTTTGCTTGGATTTGTTCTTTTTGTGTCTCATTTACTAAATCCGGTATACCTATAAACCTCTGTAAACCTGATTCCTTGCGGCGAGTGGACATCAATTTTAAGTGGCTTTGGTACAGAGAAGATTCGCCTGATTGGTGTGGAAGACTAGACCCGCCGTCATGTGTCATAAGTTTAGAGAACTGACATTGGGTTTGCAAGATCATGCAGCATAAAAGACATGCATGTCCATGTAGTTGGAAACTAAAAAACGAACATATGGCAATCAGCTACTCCCGATTCGATCGAATCCGATTCGATCCATGGTCAGTCTCCTTTGTGGATCGGGTGATGTTTAGTCTCCCGAACTGAGTTAAAGTATGTGTTCCTGGTTTAATGTTTTTCTCCTGGTGATTTCCTGGTTTGCTGGGAGTATTTAAAGTGATGTTCTGTGATCACTTGTTTTTCCTGGTTTTCCAAGATGTGAACTCCTGCCCAGTCCTGCCCAGTCCTGCCGCAGGTGCCGCCTCACTCGGAGTCCTTTGGAGGCTCGGTCTTTTTGGGACTCGTGGGGGCTGTGCAGGTGGATGTGGAGTGCAGATAAGAACATGTTTCCATCTATTCTATATACGTTATAGTATGTTTGTTAGTGGGAAAAAACACTGATGTTGACAACTATAACTGACTGACTCTTTTGTGGGGTGATGTTAGTGTTGGCAACTACAAACTGCAGACTGTTGATTAACGATTAATGTTGATGAGTTTGCTTCTAAAGGTAATTGCTCAATTCGAAAGGTGTGGCATCATCATGTTTGTGTTGTTTAATCTGTAAACTGCAACCAGTCTACATTACTGCGTTGACACTCTTCAAGATCAAGATGTATGACCTGCACCAGACATTTGGGGCACTCTCCGCACGGTTGCTTCCAAATGCCTTGACCTGGGATTCTGACACGGTGGGCCTCTCAGACCGCCCTGGTGCGTGCTGACCTCGCACCCTACCTGCTTTTCTCTCTTTGTGCACGGATTCGTCTGGCATCCCAACAAGAGTCTGATCAGGAACCTGCATGTTTCATGGATTCATCATGTTTGATCAGAGATCCCGGAGTGGCATCTGACGTGAAGTTTAGAAAGACCTTCATCAGCAACCTGGTTGGACTTCATGTTCCAGAAAGGACACTCTACTTCGATTCGGATCGCACTATCATGAGAAAACTAGGTGGGGCAGGAGGTTCCAACAACATTTGCTCAGTTAGGTCAATCGGCCTTTGACACCCTTTGACACAAGGAAATCTGACATCTACCAGGAAAAAACATTGCAAGCTCTGGTCCCAAAACCAGCTGCGCGGCACGACATGACCTTCTCCGACGGAAACTTCGCACAAGCTTGTGGGGGGGCCACCCGATCGCGACGCTGGATCAGGAACGGGTGCCAAGGCCGATGGAAGGGGAGGGGAGGCCTGAAATTGGATCATCAGCTTGGCTGGGCTGGCCGACCACTAGTGACTTCATATCGGAAAGTTTTGCTTTGGGTGTGTGTGTTCTTCAGTTGCGAGTTCCTATGAGTTTGCCCTTCGGGTCTGGCTGTGTGCACTTCTCGAGATGGGAGGTGGGAACTCAAGTTGGATGATTTCAATGAAGCTTCACAAGGTCGTTGGCAACCCATTAGGAACTCAACATCCAAAGGTTGTTTGTTTTGATGTTGCAGAAACTTCACTAAATCCTCAGGCAGCCTTGCACCCTTGATTCAACATCATTCGACCATCCAAGAAGGGCCATCTCTGTACATGTTTGTTGAAGATAAACCCGTTGCCTAGATGAATGGATGTGGGTCAAACTGCCAGTACTTAAGTAAACATCACATACCCACATACCCTATCTTCATCCCACTCATCAGATTTTGGACCCAACACTTACAGTCCAATGTCACCCGGTTCGACACGGAAGGACGGCGGCGGCGCTGGAGGCCGGTCCAGGCACCGAAGTCTCCAATTGGGAGGGTGCGAGGGTGGTGTTTGATGCTAGCATCCTGTGATTTGGAAGATTGGACATGATTGCAAGCTCTTGAACAAATAGAGCAAGGCATGGCAAAGATGAATCGGCTACTAGAATGGTCCCTAAGCTGGGATGGGAAGATGTGGGAAGTTGTTCATGGCTGCTACGTGGTGATGTTGTGAAAGGTTCCAGCTATAACGATGAAGAGGACTGCTGGACGTGCTGTTGTTTCTCGGTCATAGGACGAAAGTGCGACGAAAGTAGGGAATGAGGGATGACCCTCACCACCCCTGTGGATACCTCAGGATACATGTTTCGGTTCAGCTTGCTTGGTATTTTGTTGTCCTGCAAATACGATCCGGTGAAAGACATCCCCCACACTTGTCCCTTTATAAAAAGCATGCAGACGAACCTTTTCTCTTCTAAAATGATGAAACCGACCCTCACCCTCATTTTATAAAAATCATTTTGGCGGGTAGAAACCAAACAAGAAGTTTGTTCCAGAGAAGGTTGATTTTTCATTTTAGTTTTCTTAAGTGTGTTTTCCTCACAAACATCTAATGAGATTGGTTCAAGCATTTTTTGCAATCACTCAAATTTGCTTCAAGTCATTTCATATGGAATCCATGTCTCTTGGCAATTAGCAGTTTGCTGCGATGTTGTGGTATTTTACGTTAAACATATACAAAACGGTTGGTTTCTTATTTAACAGTAAACCTCTTGGCATTTGTCAGTTTATGAAGCAATTTTACTATAAAATGCAAAACGGCAGACCACTGGGAAGGAGGATTGAAAGACCATTTCCTCTACAACCCAGTGGTTTTGGGGGTTGATGTTCATCTGCAACGTCTGTTGTCCTTTCCATACGACAAAACATGCAGCATGTCACATGCAAAATCGACATATAAAGCACATATAAGCACCAATTCCCTGGGTTCTGTTGATGGGTTCTTGTGAGTGTGCTATTTTGCTCTCCTCATATATGAGGGGCAGAGCTATGTGGCGAAGTGGCCAATCACAAGGATAGAATCTTGATGACACGCCAATCTATCCCTATGGATCCACATACCGAACCTGAGGTACGGTGAAGAACCATTGTCGGGTCCAGTCGCACCGAACCTGAGAAGGCATGTGGATATTATACTTTATAGTGAATTATACTCTATATGGGGCGAGAGAATCCCGAAACCTGCCAGTAGAAGTCATGAGAGTCGTGTGACATCACAGATGCCAAACGAGTAGCTCAAAAGCATTAGGAATCATCAGAAACTGACGATGAGCAAGACACAAATTCCACAGACTTCCTTTCAACACTCCTTGTTATATAATACATGTTCCACCTTCCAATGTTCTCCCTTTTCCAGCCCCGTTTGGTATACAGGAACTGCTCCTTTTGTCGACCGAAGGTTCTGCATCCACTGCGGCGCACCTCACGTTGCGACAGCAAAGTTCTGCTCGGACTGTGGTGAGAGAAACTCGGCCAAGATTGTTTGACATTGTCCTCAAATATAGCTTCACTCTTGACCCAGGAAAGGCGCTGCACACCAATGGAGGCTACCATGGCAAATCAAGAAGTGTACCAAACAGGTTTCTGCATTTAGTGCGCCCTTTGCACTTTCATGTGACCACCTGCTTGGCTGGGCATGGTCCCAAGTGGTGTCTAAGAAGCCTTTCCAGCCGGCACTCCACAGTGTTCGCCGTCTAAGAAGCCTTTAATGAGTGGATTGACATCTAATCTTAAGGCTTGGTTGCCCTGGGTACCGACCAGATCCTCCATCACTTAGCGAACGCTGTCGGAGAGGCAACAGGCGAGCTTGAATCTAAGATACTATTAAGTTATAAGTCATTCCTTCCAACAGAGGCATCTGCACCAGCTTGATCCTCCGAAATGGTCTAGGCATCTCCCGCTTCAGACGTCTGTCTCGTCAGACAAAAACCAAGTGTTTGCCATCGAACGTTGACGTTGATCGTTTTTGAACTTTAAGGAGTGGATGCTCCACCCATCGACGCTCCACACATCGAAGGCGGAGTATAAGAGACATGTGCTCCGTTGGCGGAAAAACGCGTCACCGGGATGTTCGACATCTCATAGCGATGCCAGTGATGTAATGCCTTACACACACTGTCACAGACTAGATGGAAGTGAATTTGGAATCAGCACATCAAGCAAAGCCCTTGTTCATCCTGTTTCAGGCTCCCAGCTCCCACAAGCTAGCGGCTTCCTGAACATATGTTTCCTCTTCATCGAAAACACTGTCTTACACTATCTTACACTCACACTCACTCACACGTCACATGTGTACAGAAAAGATGAGAAAAATCCACCTACTGTTTGTATTGAAAGTCGTCTTCCGGCCGAACTGCCATCATCTGCCATCCTCGTTGTGTTCGTGGGACCTCCAGGTGGCTCGTCCGGTGGAGCGTCCACCGGACGACGGGGTGCGACCGGCTCGACCAAGGGCGACCCAAAAAGAGGCGACCAGAGAGAGAGAGAGGGATACACCGGTGGGATGGTTGGTGTCCAAAGCATCACCTATATATACAGGAGATGATTATAGATGATTGATTATAGGATCAAGCAGACAGCAAAAGAAAAGCATTTTCAGATTGATGTGTCTCCTGGTTCCCTATGTCTCCCCGAAAAGTCTGATTGAGAAGAAGGTGCATAGCATAGCTCATTCTGAACACGGCTCGCCCTGCCGACCATAGCATGTTGAACGTGAGGTCATTTGAGATCCATGTACAACTGGTCATTTACAAAAAAAAAATAGTTGAAAAGCAATTCACAGCAGATAAACTAGCTGTTGCCATTCGGAGGGAGCGACTGAGGGTTGTTTGGGGGGTATGGATGTCGTATTCCATAGTGATATCCATAGTTTCCGTATTCAGCCGGGAGCTGTTGGGAAAGAACAGGAAACCGGCCTCCAAAGACGACTGCTCACGCTTTCCTCGGCCTCGGCCTCGCCTTCGACCGTCGCGCCCGACGTGTCCGTGTTTCGGATCGGTGGCGGTGTCGCGGGTCGGTTGGGAGGGGCATGTATTTAGAGGTTGTGCTTGTTTCATATTTATCGGGATTTGTTTTCAGCAGATGTTGCTTTTTCTGCTTTTGCTGCCTTTTGCATTGTTGTTTTTGCTTTTGCTGCTTGTTTGCTTTGTTTTTGTTGCTTTGGGTGTTTAATTACTGTTGCTGTTTTTTGGACTCGGTCCGTTTTTGTTGCTTTGTAGCTTTTCTGCTCTTGTTGCTTCTGTTGAGTTTTGTTACTGTTTGGTCTACTGTGCTGCATTTGTTGCTGTTCAGTTTGCATTACTGCGCAGCTTGCACACACTCGTGTTTCATGTATTCTTTAGCTGCACAAACACATTAGACAGAGGAGCTTCAATACGCTTCGCGCATATGTATGTCATGGTTGTTTTGCGGTGTTTGCGGAAAAAAACATTGAAGTAGAGCACTGCTTACATGTGGTGCTTACAAGACACAATAAAGCCAAAATTTAGGTGAGAGCGAGGAGCCATTCCAAGGTAGCAGACCTTTTGTGAGCCACCTGAGGGTAAAATTTAGGGGCGTTCCAACACAGCTGCCCATTTGTGTGCCACCTTGATGGTGACATTTAGAGGAGGAAGGGGCCTTTCCAAGGTAGCAGACCTTGTGTGAGCCACCTTAGGGTAAAATGTAGAGGAGGAAGGGCCATTCCAAGAGAGCAGGCCTTTTGTGAGCCACGCGAGGCTAAAATTTAGAAGAAGAAGGTGTCATTCCAACATAGCAGACCTTTTGTGAGCCACCTTAGGGTAAAATGTACAGGAGGAAGGGCCATTCCAAGACAGCAGGCCTTTTGTGAGCCGTGCGAGGCTAAAATTTAGAAGAGGAAGGTGTCATTCCAACATAGCAGACATTTTGTGAGCCACGCGAGGGTGTATTTTAGAAGAGGGAGGTGCCATTCCAACATAGCAGACCTTTTGTGAGCCACCCGAGGGTAAAATTTAGCAGAGGAAGGTGTCATTCCAGTGTAGCCACATGCCTGTGTGCGCAAGTGAGCCGCAGCCTGGGCAAAGAGTTCATGCATGCGCTAGTGAGTTAACCGTTGCGCGTGCAAGTGATGTTTTGGAGATGGCCTCTTCATCATCAAGTAGGCGCATGGGGGCGCACTGCCGACATCGCTTGCGCAAGTGAGGTGACTTTTTGCGTGCACAAGTGGGTTGCGAGCCAATCCCAACAAGCACCACGAAAATCCATGACAGAAGCAGCCACGCACAGAAACATGCAAGCGCCCGCCCTTCCCCCAACATCCCTCCAGCGCCACGAGAACCGCATTTTATAAGGTCGACCACACCCCACTGCACCGGACACCAGTGCGAAATCTGCATGACTTCTTCCACCAATGTACTTTGCTTGCTACGACAGCTGTTTCTCTTACGTGTCAGCCCCGCTGCCAAACCTGTTTTCTCTCTCAAGCTCAGCCACTCACCCCACCTTGTGTCCGCAGTTCTTTTGCTTTAAAGGACACTAGGTTGCCGTAAATAGCAGCGAATTGTGGGCCCCAAGGATTTTTGAAAAGAACAAAACTCCGAATTAAAAATGTACCCCTTTGGTTGGGAGGCGGCTATTTCAATGCCGAGCAGGAGGTTGAGCAGGACCGCGAGAAACTTGCCTCGGGTTTGTTGGGTTCAGAATGCACACCTTTTTTGTGGGAGGGTCTAAAGTCTAAATCTGTTCCGAGTTTCCAGATATGGCTCTGGGTCGAACATCCAAAGCCAAGGTTCAAAGATTGCCAGAATGTCCGAAAGTGTTTTTTGTTTCCTTGACCATCAAACATATTTTTTGTTGGCAGATGTTGTTCCAGTTTTGTGCAAACTCACTTCACCCAGGATACCCTGGGGGGGATATTCCGGATTTGTTCAATCTTCAGGTTTCTTTTGCTTGATCCTTCTCTCCTACCCCAGGAGACATTCCAAGACTACAAGAAACACCTGCGGGACGAGGTGTTGAAGAGCCCTCCCAGCGAGCGAGGTGTAGGCGGGAAGAAACGTTTGCTCGGAGCAAAGTTGGTTTCTTAGCCGAGGAACTAGGTTTGCTGAGGGCCAGCACATTTATTCACTGCAGTATATAGGAAATGAATGGATTTGATTTGGCCCACAAGAAGAAACGAAGTGAACTGATTGTGAACACATCCTGAAAACCACGATCTTTCAAGGGGGCAACTCTGGACTTGATAGTCTTGGGGAAGGACGGGTGGACATCCACCACCGTGACACCATGGTGACGCCGTGTGAAGGATGAATGGCTCGTGGTGTCGAGTATGCAAGGGGTTTTCTAGGTGTTGGCCATGGCTCACTGTGTTGACCATCTCTATATGCAGGCCCATTTGCATGTCCCCGGCAAGCGCCCCGCGAAGGCCCCGATAAGGGGAGGATTTCCAGAAGTCACCTTCAAGTCAAATCGGTGCGGTATCCAAACGAATGATTGTACTCTGCAAATACGTAAAACCAAGTGACTTAAAATCAAGCACGTACTCGAGTAGATACACCATACTCGGCGATACTCGGATTGATTTACAGATTGACACTGATGTGTGACTTTACGAGTTGTTGTATCTTTTTTGTGTGTTGTTGTTCTACATCAGTCACCACACCGAGCGCTACCCAGCATTGTTCCCGGTCTGGTGGAATCTTCATTGGCCCAGCCAACACCGGTTTGGCCCAGCCAACACCGGTTTGGCCCAGCCAACACCGGTTTGGCCCAGCCAACACCGCCTAACCATAGATCAACAATATTGAATCCTTTGACTCACTAACATGGCAGTGGAGAATGATCTCTTGGACGACGACGTGCTTCAAAACAAAGCACGGGGTGAACTCACTCCAATTCCACGAACTCGTGAACAGCAAAAAAAAGTAGGTCTTTTATAAGCTGCTAGACTCTAGCTAGACCAAGGCCGGTTGGGTTCCCCCAAGCGATCTCGTCTCCCTTCCCGTGGTTTTCAAGGTGCCTACATCCGCAGCGTGACCGGCGAGCTTTGGGGCCGTGTGGTTTGTGACCAGGGCCGCTCGTGGCAGCTGGCCAGTGGCCGAAGCGCCAAGAAGGAGTGCCTCAGCGCCCAGCTCGAGAGCTCAAGGGGAAAAAACGGTACCAGCTCTGAAACAACCAGCCTAAGTGGAAGCGTCTCTGATTGTTGGTTCCTCGATGTTTTCGGTGACCACACGGGCCGGGGCTTGGAAGGTCAGGAACGTCAGCCGTTATATAGGTCAGTATTGGATGCAGAGTTTTGCGTCACCGTCCCACATGCAGCAAGCTAATGCTGCTAATTAATGCTAATTATAAGAACTTGCAAAGCATCTTGTGGCACCACCCCACAGTTCTTGAGTGCTGCGGGAAGCCTGCCGCCGGAGCCGCGGGAGCCACCGAGGGTGCCACCTGAGCTGCCTCTCATCTCCATGTTTGGCTGCCTCGACGCAGCCCGCCGAGGAATGAGGGGAAGATCTGGAACTTCGAGAAACCCAGCAATGTTGCAAAGGCCGGTCCGCACTGCCTGCTTCAACAAAAACGACGCTGAACATTGGCTTTCGACCAGCACTTTGAGTTTCATTTGATGACCCGAGTCGGGGTTTCTTGAAGTAACAAGTGCAGACCTTCTGAACTGTGACATGTGGCCACCAGGCTGAAAGAATTGGGAGTCAACTGTCAACTCATTGACTAATTAATCAAGAGCCACAGCCGCCTGGTCTCAGGCCAACACAGCTTTGGTCCCCCAAACCCAAAGGCCGGGTGATGTCGATGAGACGAGGCGAAGGGTGTTTGCCGAGGGTGGTTTGATGTGAGTCGTGGTAGTTTTGCTTTATGAAGTCGGTTGTTTCAAAAGGTTTGGATGCATCATGAGGTATCCGTGGTTTGCTTTGTGCTGCATGGATTGTTGCTTTCAAACCATACACACCTTTCAACGATGCCTTTGGTTTTGAGGCGTTCGATCACTGCACCCGTTCCGAAGGGCAGTGCAACAGCAAACGGCATCCAGTGATCCGATCATTCCATCGCCCAAGCTGGTCGTCCCACCCTGTGGTCCCCATGTGGGGGGCACCCACAGGTCCCACTTAGTGTCAATTTGAGCAAGCTTTTTGCAGGTGGGGATAGCAAGCTTTGTCAAGTAACTGCATGTAATTGATTGTAATTGTGTGTTGCGTTTCATCCTTTTTCAGGGTAGGTTTCGTGCCTCCGAGTTTCTCAATCAAAGCCAAGTCCGAGAAGTTTTGGGCTCCCCGTCCCTCGCTCCTCTAAGATTCGCAAGGGCTTTCGTCAAACAAAATTAACCATCTTTCGTTTGCAACGGGCTTCTTCCTGCATTCTCAAGTTTGGGGGATTTCAGGAGGTTGATGAGGTTACAGATTGTTCATGATTGTTCTCATTCTATAGATGGCATGTGAATTATTGCATTGCTCTCAGCATTTTGGCTTTTTGTTTAGTTTCCCAGTATATATATCCCAGCAAAACAGAGGTGACTTTGAATGATATCCCATCGTTTGGACAGCACAAGTATATGTCGCAAGCAACCAACCGTCCGTTGACACCCTTTTTCGCTTTTTCCATCCGCTCCGGCCCATGTCTTCCAAAGCCTTGGCGTGCTTTCTGGGCATCAACCTGGCACTCCCTGCTTTCGGTCAGGGACCAGTGCCTCGGTCTGGCACCTCGGGCCCGTTCTCGGTCGGCCCGTTGAAACGCTCGGAAGACCGTGGACGGCGGAAGCGGATCCGGAGCGGAAGACCGGGGAGCGTCCCCCGCCGTCGGTTCTTGCTTCTCTATGACTGGGGGCCTCATGGGCATTTTGCTTTACCTTTGCCATTTCTGTTTGGTCTCCCCACTTGTCTCCTACTATGTCTCCCCACTTCTTCGCCTGTGTGATTGGCGTTTTGTGTGCCGCTCTGCCTTGTCTCACCACTTGTTCCTCAGATAGCTGACAGCTATAGAGGTTCTTACTTGTGAATGACTGGGTGGCTGATTAGCCTTTTGGTCCACCGCTGCCACTGCTTCCTTGTCTCCCCACTTGTCTCCTTCCTTGTCTTCGAAATGTCTCCCCACCTGTCGCCCCACTTGTTTGCTTCTGTGATTTGCACTTTGTCTGCCGCAGCGTCTTTGTTTTTCCATTTGTCGTGAATTCGATGATACTCCTCCTGGTTTGCTGGGCATTGCTGGGCTAAGAAGACAAGTTTTTGACAGTTAGCTGCTATGCCGGTGTATAGGCATCCCCCAAATAGATAATTAGAGAAGTAGATCCCCACTAAACATGTATTGGAAACCCTATCTATTTGGGGATCACTATAATGTTGTTTCTCTTTTGTGTAGTGTAGGGAGCAGGAGCAGCATTGGCCAACTATGGTGAGTCAAGTGGGGTCAGCCTGCCTCACTCAGCTCAGGTTGCACGTTATGAAGACGAGCTCACAAGCATGATGCAGTGGAGAGTACCAACAGTGAACACCACAATGGCGCAAGATGACGAATGGGAGGCGCTTTGTTCGGTCATGAGAGTTGGTTACAGCTTGGGGTTGTGGGAGCAGACTGAAGGGTCTAACATCCCATCCATGGGCAAATATATGGCAGTTGGCACATTCACCACCAAAAGCCACCAGTCATGTGGGCCGGGCCCATGGATCCGGCCACCATGGATCCGGCCACCGGCGAACTCTCCAGTCGCTTCGACCGGCTCGACGGACCAAATCGACCAGTCGCAACGCAAGTTGGCTCGGCGGTTCATTCTCCGAGGCTAGTACTTGTAGACTTATTGTTTATTACTTGTTTTTTGTGTATGTTTGCATCATATGATTCAACAAAAACCATGGTTTTTCCAAGTTTTGCCAGTGGGGTTGTAGCAGACCTCATGTGTTGGCGCCAGGAAGAACGACAACTCAGGCATGCACACGTGGCCGTGCTTCTGGCAATCCCCAGCGTCGCAGGCCGCCGGGAGGGTGGTCGAATGGTCCAACGGTGTGCAGTTGTTGAGGTGGTCATGTACGTAACCTGTAAGTTGGAATGGCAATCAAATGGAATTTGGCCGCATGTCTTGACTGTTGACATGTCTTGACTCATGCGACTCGAGCACCCAAAAGATCAGTTCGTGGGATGCACTTGCTGTGGGTTTGAATATGTTTCACACAGGCACAGAGACGCTATATAACATGCAACATCATGCAACCGGAGTCTATTTAAAAAAAATACAAAAGAAAACTTGGATCACATATTGCCAAAACAAAATGCCTGGTAGGGTACTTTGGCACCTTCTGAAGAAAATTAGCTGGCTTTGATTGGATTTTAGAGTCATCAAAGCACAATACTATTGCTATATCAAGCCTTCAGGATGGAAGACATCGGCACTTGTTGTTCATCTATGTCCATGTACACATTACAAGAAGGGCTGAAGTGACTATCGATCATTCTGTGTCCTTCGATTTGGAAGCTCTACTTACTCACCTATAACCATATACCCATTTCTTATGTGGGTGGAAGAAGTCCTACGCACACCTGGAAGTTCCAATCAAAACCATGAGGCTCTCCTCCTGTGCTTAGCAGGTAGTTGCCATGGCCTCTCAGGTGGTTTTCCACAAATTTCACCCAAATGACGGCCAATAGCTGCATGCAACGAGAGTTCGCACTTGTTGGAAAGGCTAAAGTAGCCCCAGCAAATTCCTTGGTCCTTTTGGGTCTTCTTTGGGAGTAAGACTTCCTTCCCACGATGACCCGACGCTGGTAGTACAGAAGGAACATGAAGGAACATCTATCAAAAGAACATCATGATTATGTGTGTTTGTCAAATGCCAATAGTTGTTCATATATTATCGCGCTCATGAAGGTATGTCACGGTATGTTTGGTTTCTCCCATGGAAAAGAAAGGATTCCTCCAAATCTGCCGTGAAATCTTGTGGTGGATGAATCAGTGAGAGACCACGCCACGCGCGCTTCGTTCTCATGCTCACCAATTGAGTAGCTTCAAAAACCTCTATGATGAAAAGTGTGCAAACTGCAATCTCACATTCTTGCGCGAAAGCCAAAACGCAGGTCGCGAAAGGTTCGCGAAAGCCCCGCGAAAGAACCCCAGAAGAACAGCGTCGCGAAAGCTTTCGCGAAAGTCGAATTTCTTGTGCATGTCGTGTTGTTTATGTGGGTGACCATATTTTTATGCAGGCAGCCGCAGCAGGCCAGCCAGCCAGCCAGCCAGCCGCAGCAGACCAGCCAGCAGCAGCAGCAGCGCTGAAGAGCAAGTGTTTCAGGGGAAAATCGAAAAGCCCAGATGAATTTCCGCGAAACCCGCGCGAAAGCCTCGCGAAAGAACCGCGAAAGTCGAAAATATCCGGGAAAGGTATCTCGCCCCAGCAAAAAGTTTCAGCAAGTTTTCCTCCTCTTCTGATGACAACAATAATACTTGAACGGTGCTGCTACAACTCCTTGTGCCAGGATGTTGCCGGAAAGAAATTTGTTCAGTTTTGACCACCCTAAGGACACTTATATCGGATATAACATATATATATAGAGATCAATCACTTTATTGTACAATATCCCAATCGAATTTCCCAATCGAAAACGAATCGCCGCGAAAGCCGCCGCGAAAGCCCCACATAACACCACACCTTCCGCGAAAGCCAGAATGCAGGCCGCGAAAGCTTTGCGAAAGCAAACCTGGATTATACAAAAAAGTAATAGGGGTTTTCGAAGCTGCTCAATTGTGATCGGCACACCCCACATTCCAAGGACTAGAACGCACCGATTGATCAAACCTTACAGTACGCGAAGGGAGAGAGTGACAGTGACCATGTCCCATCCTTCTCTGGTCGAAAACGGAAAGCTTGGACGGTCCATCCGAAAGTACTTGGACTCGGCGCCAGGCCTCCGGAAGCAGCAGCATCTCCCTGATCTTTCTCGCATGATCCTCACTTTGCTGACCTTGTCCCCGGCACTGGCAGCTACGATGCTGAGCTGATTTGTGGGGCACCAGCAGAATTTGGAAAAAGAAAAGTGCTTTCACACTTCGCATATGTGTGCTGTTCCTGCATCAGCCCTGACTGGTCTTCCACACGCAAAAGAGCAAACTCGGTCAGACGGTCCGGCGACCCGGATCAATCACGAGAGGTGAAATGGTGATGTTAGATGTTCGATTGTTGTTGGGGAATACAAAGCATATAGTGTCCCTATGTATACTGTATTTGTTATCCCCGTGCAGCTACCCTGGCTGATGGGGGTGGCTTGAGCCCCTGGCTAAGCTGAATTTATTATCAACAAATGCTTCATTTTATCCACTTGATGGGGCCCTAGGTTTCTGGTTTTGAGATGTCTATAACCGTTGAGTACCTCTAAATTATCCACACCTAGTGGGTGCCTGTAATATGTTTTGGAATGTTGGGGGGCTATGACTTTAGCATATTTTAGCCAAACCATGCCCACCCATTCAGGGTGATGTGTGAGCATGTTTCTTGTACGACAGCACTTTCTTTTACCAGGAAACATCACATAACGTTGCCTGAGAAATGTGTTGCGCAGATGAAATCCTCACTGCCTTGGTATTTACATTGAGCACTGCTTTCTAAGGTCTTGCAATCCAATCATAATTTTAGCCACCACACAACCCACACACACCCCACCCAGCAAGGGGCGAACCACTGTTTTCTGACCAGAGCAGCGCGACAAGGTCTGGCACGAGCCACGCAAAAAATATGGCCTTCCAAGAAAGGCCAACAGAGGGGCAAATTTATGGGATGCCCTTTTAGACAGCGTTTGGGGCTA